CCTCCGCGCGCCCGCCCCCACCACCGCTCTCTGAATCCGCTTTTGTTCTTCTTAGTTTCGGGCAGCGCTCCATTGAAATACCCTTTTGGACTGAAAGAAAAATTCGATTGATCAGATTTACGCACCCTTCTCTTTCTGGTCTAAAAGACATGTTATAACTGATATTTGTGTTCGTTTCGAGTTTGCCCTTATAATTTCTCCGACAAAAATTGACTTACAAATTTGGACAAATGCTTTTTAGAACAGGGGACGCCAGACCACGTCTCGCGTAACAGCTCACGAGTGGAGCTGCGTATTGCGGGTTGCGGGCCCGTCGCTTCGTCGTCTTTTACGCGTGAGGACGCCGACCCGACGCAAAATATTCTGTATGCTATTAGGTTGTTTTTAGTTTGTCATGACGAACAGAAACGTACTACTAGCGACCTTCTGCTAGCAGGTCGCTGCATGTTCGTCAAGGTGCGTCAAAAGTTCGCATGTGTTTCACTTTGCACCATCTGCCAAACTGAAAGCGAACATAGGTCGGAGTTGCAGACTTTTAAGTATTCAACTTGCAGTTGCACACTTACAAGTGTTCAGCAGTTGAACACTTAGTTTATCAGAGTATACCCAGAGCTAAACAAGCTGCACACTGAAGATGCCAGTAAAACCGCACAGCCGCACGGTAAAAACAATGTCTGATTATTTGAGGGAAAAGAGAAAACTTTGAGGATCTCCCATATTTGAGGAAAACTCCTCCGATTTTGAGGGAGTCTCCTCAAAAAATGTGGTAAATTCCCTCATTTTTTGAGGAGACTCCCTTAAAATCTAAGGAGTCTTCCCCAAATTAAGGGACTTCCTCAAAGTTTTCCCTTTCTCCTCAAAAAATCAGACATTGTTTTTACCGTGCGCAGCGCGCTCAGCTCACGCCTCTACTGCACGGACGCATACGTCCTCTCTCTGCGACGTCCACTCTCAGACTGACGTGATCGTGGAGTGCAGAGTGTGCAGTGCAGAGAAGCCGTCAGGTACTCCGGGGGTCCCGGGTCCACCCCATCCTTCCCCTCTGCTGCTCGCAAGTACGCCGGTCCTGCGCCGGTCTAGGGATTAGCGCCAGCGCCCTGCCGGGGTTTCCTGGGAAGGAAAATACCCCGACGACACTAGGGCTCTCCAGGCAAACCGAAAGCGCACTGGGGTCGCTCTGTTCGTCTCGGAGCGACTTGAAAGCATACTCAGTTTGCTCTGTCCGCTCACGGAGCGACCCGATGACGGACATAGGTCGCTCCAGCGCAAACCTCCGGCGTACCTTGGCGATACGTCACTCAGGAACCTGACGAACCTCGGCGACCTAATGGCGCACCGAGCGCGACCCTCCGCAAACCGATAGAATACCGAAAGCATACAAAAAGCAAACAAATCTTTTTGCGTCGTCGACGACCTGGCCAGTTTCTAGCGACCGCAATCGAACGACACAGTGACGAGATGGTGACGAGATTGTGACCTGGGTACGGTCGCCATGTGGTCACCTCCCGGTCACACCTCTCGCCACTCCTCCGGTAGCCAATAGGGTGTTCCAGGCTATCTAAAACGGAAGTGAAAAAGAACAAACTCGCTGAATTATCTGTTTCCGTCCGCCCAGTATGAGAAACCACCATGGTAGTTTGGTAGTTTGGTCCGATCCTAACCTCTCAAATATGGAGGGGAGCTTGAAACTGATCTGACAGTTTCTCGTACCTGAAAGGCCGCGGAGGCACGTGATTAGTTCGACCAATCAGAGCCATTACGGAAACAGAAGAGTCAGTGAGTTTGTTCTTTTCCTACTTCCGTTTTAGATTGCCTGGAACACCCTATTCGCCACTCCCCTGTTACACCCTCGTCAACATGTCGTCACCCTGGATGACGTTGCAAAAGTCGTCCCCATCTCGTCACTATGTGGTCACGCGGCGAGCGTCAGGTGTGATGCGGCGCTTCTTCCCTGTCTCTAAAGAGATGTGAGTGGCCGAGTGGCTTCGAGCGGCACCACGGCGGCGCGCCGTGGGTCCGGGTCAGTTGTTCGAGTCCCACTGGCAGCGATTGCCTTTCTTCGTCATCTCTCTAGGGTGAGGACATGTTTACGAGGGTATAACAGGGGACTGGCGGATTGGGGACCATTTCGAACAACTGACCCAGACCCACGGCGCGCCGCCGGTCTGCCGCTCGAAGCCACACATCGCTGTAGGGACAGGGAAGAAGCGCCGCATCACACCTGACGCTCGCCGCGTGACCACATAGTGACGAGATGGTGACGACTTTTGCAACGTCATCCAGGGTGACGACATGTTGACGAGGGTGTAACAGGGGAGTGGCGAATTGGCTACCGGAGGAGTGACGAGAGGTATGACCAGGAGGTGACCACATATGTCGACCGTACCCAGGTCGCAATCTCGTCACCATCTCGTCACTGTGTCGTTCGATCACGGTCGCTAGAAACTCGCCAGGTCGTCTCAGCGTCCTTACGCGTACAAGATGACGAAGCGCCGGGCCTGCAAAACGCGCAGCTCCACTCGGGAGGCAGAACGTAATCGTGCCCAGGTTAAAATTCCGGTAAGGTTTCCGGCCGGAAAGTGGCACTTCGGCCGTAAATGTAAACGATTTCTAACCGTGTTTCTTCTTTCTAGCCGTAATTTGGCACACCGGTATAGTAGGGTATTTCACCTGACGCAAACCGGATCCAAAGAAGAACAAGAGTTCTTCTTGAACTCTTTCCTCCGTGGCTCTGATTAGCCGACGCCGATGAAAATTCCGGACCCGACACTAGGGATCGACCGCCCTTGCGGCCAGTTCATGAATAAAGCATTCCGGTAAAGCTGAAATGCAGCAGAATGCGGGGAAGAAGAAAAAGGAAATAGCTATGCTATAACATGGTGACTTCCGTTTTCTTGTCCCATGCATGTTTCTGCATTTTAGCTTTACAGGAATGCTTTATTACGTCGGCGTCAGCCAATCGGAGGAAGGGAGGAAAGAGTTCAGAAAGAATTCTTTTTCTTCTTTGCATCCGGTTTGCGTCAGGTGAAATGCCCTATTGTGCTTCCCCATATAGAATGTAAACATAATAAAAAGATTGTATGCATGTATACCTAAACTGCGATTTAAGATCCATTTTTCTTTTAAAATGTACTTGATTGTGACACTGAAGTCGTGTCAACATAAATGTCATCTGCACTGATTTGAGAATTGACACTAAACCTTTTCCCTAATTTACTGTATCCAAAACGCCCGCTTTCCACCTCGGGTGTCGAGGCATTAAAATTTATCTCACAATTCTTTTAGCATCGTCTTCACGATCGATGTGTGTGCATACCGGATTTTAATTTAAGCGCCTAGTAGAACATTTAATCACGAGAGATGGCGAAGATGGAACTGAGCCTGATTTGATCATACCCTATAAAGATTTTTAAAGCTTTAGGTTGCTCCCAAAATGCTAGTAAAGCGTGAAGTGAAAAGATTTTAGTTAGTTCGGGCTCTCAGAAATTAAAAAGGCGACTGTTCTGAAACATTGGCTGATCTGTCGTCGGCAAAATTCACCATACTGTCGACTTAACCAAATGTACTTCTTAATCTTGCCCGAGACAAATATGCATTCTGGCAATCGACAAATTTTTATTTAATCCACGGTCGAGATTCCAAGACGTTATTTGCAGTATGCAATCGTTAAGATTTGCGGTTTGGACTAGTAACTGAGTTGATTTAAAACCTTTGCCACCATCCTGATCGTCCCAGGACCAGTCCAATCCCCGTTGAACTCGAGCGCCTTGAAATATGCCCTTCAACGTCCATGTGCTGGCATCCTTCCGAGTACCCACTTCAACTCTGGAAAAAGGAAAGATATTTTTAAACTTTACTGAAACCAGAAACAAAATACAGATTTCCACGAAAACGCTTCTTTTAAACGACAACTAAGACCCCTTTAAAAAGTCCTTCCCCAATTGGATAATGTTTCACCCTTGGTTGGATGTGTCAGATCACAACTTCATTCTCTACACTCTCATTTCCCTATGGATGTGCTATCCGTATGTTATGGAAAATTTTGTGCTAACGTATTATGGATCACAAATTATCCGTAATATGGATAAAATTGTCCGTATTGCAGACAATTTGAACCATATTACAGACATGCCCTCCTCCGTAAGGTATAGACCTTTTGTCCATACCTTACAGATGAAAGGCATGTCTGTAATATGGATCAAATTGTCCGGACAATTTTATCCACATTATGGATAATTTGTGATCCATAATACGTAAGCACAAAATTTTCCGTAAGCATGTCCATAAGGAAATGCGAGTGTATTGTAATTTGCTTGAGAAGAAGTACAAGTTACCTAGCCTAAAGAGAGTAACCGGACCCATTTTGAATGAGCCCTGAATTCGGATGGATCAACTAGGCCTACACTTACTCTGACCCTGTATTCAGTCAGTTTTTAGCCCACCCTTCGGCTTTGAAAAAGCTATCCAACAGGCTTATGCAGACGACCTCGTGTCTGTCTGTCTATTCCACTAGAAGGAGACGTGCTAGAGACTTTAAATTTTCAGAGCATCTTAAGGTCCACTCCTAGAGAACGAAACGCCTACGGCAAATCCTGGCAACTACCCCTAAGGGTGTGAATGGGGGTATCCATCCAAGGTTCAGAAATCCCCTCAAAAAGTTACATTTTTTTATGTTCTTTGAAAGGGTAACTCGGAAAGTGGGCAAAAATGTCGTCCGTTTGGCTCTATCTCTAACCGTTTGGGCGCTGGAGGGTCTTTTTTGACGAAAATAAGCTAAAAATTGCTGTGGTGAACAATAATTTGTAGAAGAAGGCCTTAAATCGCAAAATAGGAAAGAACC